GTATTCCCTGTTCGGATTCGCTATATTACTTGGGTTATTTCTAAAACCACTTGGGTTAGATGCAGAACTTAATTCTACGTCGAATGGTGCCTGTTTCGAGGAGGGTTATCGGGTAAAAATACCCCACTTCCCTCAAAATACTGGTTGGAAATTACCTGGAAAAAACAGTAGTTTGAGGAAAGTGGGGTATTTTTGCCAGATAACCCCCCTCAAAACTGGCACCATCCGACGCAGAATTAAATTCTGCACCTAACCCAAGGGGTTTGGGAAATAACCCAAGTAATATCGCGAATCGGGATAGATAAAGACGAATATGGTGCTAACTTTTCCGACGTTCAAAATGCAGCATCTCGGCAGCAATGAGCTATAGGCCCGAACTCTTTTCAGGGTATTCATAGCTTACTATGTTCTACGTGATGCACATCGTCTCGACTCAAAAGCGATTTATCAGTTCTGTGTTTCATCATAAGCTCGAATTCTACAACCTGAGTAAAACACATTTGATGCAAAGCGCAAAACAATTGTGAAATTTAATTAATACTAAAAGTAAATAAAAAGTAAATGTACTATCGCCAACTTGTATGTGTAGTAATGAAGGTGTGTTGACGTGGAAGTTTTACAGCTATCGAAGAAATTTTGAAATATTTATCTTAAACCATTTTAGCCGTAAAAATGAAAAGGTTCAATCATATTCTCAATCATGAGCCTGTTTTTCTGTATTTTTTTAGTAACCAATACGTATTCAATGGCAACAAATGCAACAAAAATTGATGATCTTCCAGCTTATATAGATACTGCAGGGCGCGTAGTACATTTTTGTAATGATGTGTATAAAGGATACACGTGTGCAACATCGTGGCAGAGACTGTGCGAATCATGCATTTTGTTACGAGATCAACTGCTCAATCTTTCTACTTTGATGAAACCTCGAAGTGATACGAATGAATGTGTAGAAAATTCAGAACAAGCTTTGGAAAGGATCATGAACGTACTAATTGATATAATAAAATGTCATGAAGACTATATACCGTTGGATATCAAAGATGAAGTTAAACAAGTCGTTAAACCGGATCCATCTCAGATTAAAATTGAGAAATTGGAAAATTTAATATCAAAATTGAATTCAAAGCTGAGTAAACAATTACGAACAATGTTATTTGGCGACTGTGTCAAAGCAGCATATCAAATATACGCTATGTATAATACCTTACAAGATACATGTCTCTTAATTCGAAATGCTGAACAATATCGTCAATCATCTGCTTTGCAACAAGATCTCACAGATATAAATGATTCTCTTACAGAAGCAAAACACTTCTATGAACTTGCTAAGACAACAATCGATCAAATATCATCTCAAGGTCATTCAACACAAGACACACTACTATATGTTAAAAATAATTTGGTTAATGCTAAATGTCAAACGCAATGTGCACAAACAAAATTAGAATCGATTTTAAAGGATATCAATCGACATTTACAATGTTTATCATTCAATAAAAAAAATCATAGTATTGCTATTGGACAAACTATATTCAGTTTTGGTATTAGTGCTGTACAATTCGTCACTACACCTGATTTTGCTATAACAAATTTGACAAAAGGTTTGTTCGGTCTTAATACAAGTTTCCAAGCTGCCAATGTCATCGGACATTCTTATGGATTCTACTGGACACAAGAAGAAATTCAAAAACTAAATGAGCTTCACGTTAAAATGGATAAGTTAGGAAAAAATATAAAAGAATCATTCGAAAATATCGAACATGGAATGAAAACATTCAATAGTCTCAAAATGCATATTGAAATTTTGCGTGATCCTGCGCTCACTATCGACAAACAACAACAATGATTATATCGACTATTAAAAGACTCCTGAACAAATTAATCACTGTTCACTTTTCTTTATATTTGGATAAAAACTTTAAAATAAATATATTCATATTTCAGTCCAGAAAATTTTTTCAAAAAATTCTTTTTCGTCAAAAATATCCAAATGACATATCTATACATTCACTCTTTGATAGAGATTGCGAATATATGATTATTGTATGTAAAAATATCTACACAAAGAATGAAAACCGTAAGTAAGAACTAAATCATTATTTCTATCACTGAATCAAGCACACTGTTATTGAAATTTTCTAGCTAGTACCGATTTTGATGACATTATTATTATTAATACATTTAAAATTAGTTCACAAGATGATCGTTGTCTTCTTGTTTCAGCTATTTTTTGAACTTTACTTGTTTCAGGACTTATTGGTATTATTATTATCGTGATAGGTATTCTCAATTGGATACCTGCTAGTACCGGGTTGTGCATAACCTTTTGCTAAGGGGATAGCGCTATGATTTCAAGTTAAATATCTAACGAATTTTATACTAAATTAAAGACCATCAAAAACTAGATTCATTAGTACTAAATAGTAAGAGTTATCAAAATACTTTAGCGTCGAACTTACGAAATTTTCGGAAATTTTTATGCTTTTTTTAGCATAGAAAATTAGGGCACTAGCAATTCAAATATAGAATAAAATATTTTCTTTTGGTATTTTTACATGATTCGATAGGACCCGTCGAGCTCTACAAAACTATATATATTAAAAATTTCTTGAGCCATTTTTCTGAGATAAAAAATCTAAAAAATTACTTGTAAAACCCTAAAAAATCTTTAAAAACCCGATTTTTTTAATATGGAAGAAAAACATTCGATTTCTTCAATAAAATTAACTTTTCTCATTATTTTTACTTACAAAGACGCTTCGAAATATACCCATTCAATGCAGCATGAAAAATTGCGTGTAATGAGTATATCTCGAAGCGTCTTTATGAGTGAAAATAATGAAAAAAACTAATTTTATTGAGAAAATCGAATGTTTTTCTTCCCTATAAAAAACTGCTGTCGCCCTAATTTTCTATGCTAAAAAAAGCATAAAATTTCCAAAAATGTCGTAAGTTCGACATTAAAATATTTTGATAACTCTTACTATTTAGTACTAATGAATCCAGTTTTTGACGGTCTTTAATTTGGTATAAAATTCATTAGGTATTTAACTTGAAATCATAACGCTATCCCCCTAGTAAAAGGTTATGCACAACCCAGTAGACGCCATTATAAATGATTAACTCGTATTTTTCGGCATACAGACTTAATAGCAGAAGGAAAATTGAGGATGTAATGCAATACGTACGCTCATCATTGTTTAATGTAACTTAATCTGAGGAGTAGATCAAAATTCATCTGGAATTACATGAAAAATGTTTTATAAGAATATTTAAAACACATCAAAAAATATAAGAATCTGACTAGAGAGAAGAGAAACCAGTTAACAGCAGTAGAGATAGATGAAAGAAACGAGAAACAAACTAACTGAAATACCAAAGAATGAATAATATACAGGGTGTTGCAGAAGTCACACTACACCTGCCACTGGATTTCAAATATATCTTAAATATAAAGAATTCAAATCTTATTCATAGAAGAAGCAACTACTATCGTGATTTTTTCCTTGCTTAAGGAACTCATCAGGTGGCATTATTCTAATTCCATTATAACTAAAAGGTTATAACAAAAACCGTTATTCAACTTCTGTATAATATCTAATAAACTATAGAATTGACATATTTAGATGAAGCATAATAAAACAAAAATTGAAATTGTGCTAATAGTATAAAACTACTTGTTTATTTAGCTGTTTGAATGGCTTTTGAGTATGATTAAAGTGTTTGTGAGAAATACGAGTGTCAGTATGTTTTTCTGAATAGTTGCTTTTTGCCGTAGATTTACTTTCTAATCTTCTAAATCAAGTTCAAGTAATCCATCAGAATACCGAACATATAAATATTTAGCAATGGAATAAAGATGACCATTGAAATAAACAATACCATGACGCATTAATTCATTAAGTCCTTTTTTGATAAGTAAATGGCAAAAGATAATAACCAAACATTTGTTCTTAAAACAGAAAAAAGGAAAGAGATGTAATAAAATTTTCGTTTTTAGAAATACTTCGTATATATAATCAAGAGTATTAAATAGATGAGTTGCATCTGGTCTTGCACACATATTGGTCCCAATAGATGAATACTTGGGTGTGGGTGTGGATGATGGGTGTGAGTGATGGGTGTGGTTGATGGGTGATGGGTGTGGGTGTGGGTGTGGATGTGGATGTGGATGTGGGTGTGGGGTGTGGGGTGTGGGCGTGGATGTAAAAGCAGAGCAGACTAACAACCACGTCCACACCCACGTCTGGATTCTTGTTCATCCATGTCGCCACTTTTTTAACAACTGCGTCGCCGTTACGCGTAGAGCCAATTCTGCGTCGCAGTTGCGCGTAACTGCGAAATTTTGATCGTAACTGCGTGTAACTGCGGCTCATTGATCGCAGCAAAAAGATCATATGTTCGACTACGATCGACTGTGATGCAGTTACGCGTAACTGCGAATAAAATATCGCAGTTGCGCGCAGCTACGATAAAAAATTCGCAGTTACGCGTAGCTGCGCCGCAATTTTCCGCAATTACGGATCACAGTGCGATCGCAGTTACGCGTAACTGCATCGCAATTCGATCGCATTCGAACACATAGGCAAGCAACAAAGTTTGGGATAGAATTGAGCACATGTTCATTCTCAGCGTTCGTAGATTCATTATATAAGTCAGTCCACATAAGCCACGACCGACTCCCAGGAAAACTTGCTCAATCGAGATCCTCAGATTTAGCTCAATTTAAGACATATTATAGAGACAAGTATTTTATGAATTTCTGCACAAGGTATTTTGAAAAATATTGAATCCTCAATTTTGAATGACCTTTGAATTAAAAGCCATAAAAATCCACACCCTCAAAAACCTGGATTTTGTGTATGCAATATCTCAGAAGCGACTTCATCGATCAAGTTGAAATTTTGCTGGATACATACGACTCCTAGTTCTATCTATAAAAAAATTTTCCGCTCGAACGGTTGAGCGCATGATATTCTATGGATATCAAAAAAAAGAAACGCGAAGAATTCACTATTTTTGAGAACTTTGGAGCACTATACCTCCGTGATCAGGACAATATAGAGGCCTGAAATTTTCATCGTAGGTAGAATTCATGAAGATCTACTCTTCATTAGCTTTTGTTGAATGTACGCATCCGTATAAAAGTGTTCTTTTTTTTATTTAAGTAAGCGTAAGTCTCTTTTTTTTGGATCATTCAAGATACAAGTGGGATTTTCGTGCGATTTGCCATGGTATAAGCGATTGATCTATTGTTGAGCGCAGTGGACCACGTTGTTCAATAGCTCGTTTAATGGCTTCGACAAGCACATCGATCGAATGATGATTCCATTGAATATTGCCCGTTGTTGTATCGTGATCCAATTTTTCTTTGAGTTGACTGATTTTGATCATGGGTACATTCATTATTGTGTACCATCGTTCGAGGAATTCTAAAGCAGCAAGTATGTTTTGAATAAATGAGTTAAACCAAACCAGTAGTCGTGTGAAGAAAAGCATCGAAGCAGTTGTTGTCGGTGCAGTAAGTCTTGCACGTAAATTTAGTTCGATGATATTTCGTGGAACATCCATTATGATCGCTACACTTGTCGAACGTGTTTGTTCCAGAAGAATTTCGGGCATATTCAATGGAACTGCCGTGGCTTTGTTGACCAAGCAGAGCGTGTAAACATCGAGACAAGTTCGATCTCGCCATATCCATTGACAATGACTGTTTCGTTCGCGATGAAACAAAGCTGAAACATTGCATTGCCACATTTTTGATGTCATATAACTACCGAAAAAACGCCAAAATCGACAAATGGTGAAGACACCAATGAAGAGTACAACCATTGGCCAAACTGTATTCGTAATTAAATAATACATGACTGTGAACACAATCAATGATAATGGAGAAATTCGTTCAACGATAAAATGTGCCAGCTCGTCCCTACAAATGATATCTGTTGTCTTTAGAAACCATATCGTTTGCTTATCATCAGTGCTTGATGATCTGAGAAGATCATCGGGATTCTCCTCGATGGAGAGACAATCACTACCTAGATATTCGCTCATCTTTCAGGTGAGTGTCGTCTTCCCCGCACCGGGTACACCATGAAGAGCGACAACAATGGTCATGATGGACGACTGCAACAAAATTTACTTGTGTTGTGCCCAAACGCGAACAAAAGCAAATAGAGAAGAAAAGAGAGATAAAGTATGCAGTAAAATATGTATGTACGGTTTCTCGATCATTATTCAGATAGATAAAGACAGGCATTTCAGGCAAACAAAATGGATTGACATACCTACGAAAACAAAATAAAAACAACGATACGACACGGATATGGATTGATGTCATAAAATGATTTCGAGTGCTTGTAAAAATGATTACTCATCGATCGTAGAAATCTTTCTGTTGCAGTATTATTTTACACATTTCTAAGACAGCGTTTTAAGACATTAATCTGTGACCGATTTAAATCGTTATTTTTAGTTTTTTGAGACATACATCGGTCTATCAAGCAAGATAAGAGAAATCCGTGTTGTTTTCGCCATTTTCGGCTTTATCTCTATGGTGATGTTCTGCTATTCATTTGTGTCAATTTGAATCGTTCAAAATAGGAGCCTTGCAAGATGAAAATGTTTGTTCGGTCAGATAGCATGAAAGCCATCGGATGTTGTTGTAAACATTCCAGGTGGCAAGGTGTACGATCAATGGAAAAATAGGGTGTGAGTGTGTAGAAAGAATTTTCGAAGAATCAATAGAACTTTCATATGTATTCGACATTGGTGAAATTCATACTATTATACTCAATGAGCAGAAAATGATTGATTTGACAAAAAATATCTAATGAATAAGGATGAGTGCTTTTTGTAAAGCAATATTCGATTCTGACCATGCGTTGGTTTTAAAGTGAATACCTGGTGAATTCTATTTTGCACGGTATGCCAAACGATTTGATGATCTTTTATTTAGGATCTCGATCGGTCCCATAATGAATCAGAATGAGTCATATTATCAGTTTGATTCACCCACACTCGTAGTGGGTGTCAGTTAAAAAATGAGAATTTATTTTTTGAAATATATGTAACAAAAATGTCTGATATCACTTTCACATAACTTTTCAATAGAAATAATCGATCACGACTGGTTGAGCAAGTAGTGCACTTTGGTCAACAGCTAAATTGACGAAGAGAATATCGTGAGATGATGGCGCAGAATTGTTTCCTTCTAACGCTCGATTTTCTTCACTTTTATATAGACTTCCACCAAGACCATCATGCAAGTGACCGAAAAGATGAATATGAGGTTTCACTCTTGTAACAATTTCATCGAGTAAGTCGGCACAACCTAAATGCTCTTTATTCGATGGATTAAAATCTCGAATACTGTACGGTGGACTATGTGTAAGAAGTATATCGATATCTTCTGAAATCTGTCTCCATTTATGTGCACGGATACGTTTAGATTTATAACCGAAAGCGTTAGATCGATATACAAACCAACGTTTCGAATGCCATGGACTACCATAGATCCGCACACCTTCAATATCGATAAGTTGATCTTGCAGGTAAGTCATATTGCTCAGTATTTTTTGAGTACGATCTGGTCGTCGAGAATTTAAGAGATACACAATGATTGCCACTAATGAACAGTTTGTGAGCATGCGGAAGAGTACCAACAAATTCGTTGAACTTGATTAAATCACGAGCACTTGTTCGATACTTCACGACATCGCCACAATGAACAAAGACATCACCAGGTGGAATTGTTAATTTGTCAATTTGATTGTGAGTATCAGATACACAAACAAAAGGTAACAACAGCGTGTGAATGATTTCGGACACGTAGAACACCCACCCTGATATTTGAAAAAAAAATTTTTGTTAATTAAATATCTAAAAAACATTTTATAAAAATACGAACTTACAAAGGTAGCCTGTTATATGTTAGTCTTTTGAAAAGAAACATCTTTGGATTCTTCAAATTGTTGAACGATACGACAAGGACTAGTATTTATAGAAGACTATTGAATCGAAAGATAAACAACTTAAAGTGACTCATTTTATTACTCAGCTGGCAATGTTGCGATAGAAATAAAAAAGACAACTATTTGATTGACAAGATCAACACAAATAAAATAACAAAGGACTATTCACAACTTTCTCTGCAATGATCTCGCCATCTTCTGTTGATAAACTATGAAACATAAGATAGTCAAGTATTATCCATGGTGTTCTTATCAGTATCAGTGACAAATGTTTTGTCTCACTATTGACAACACAATATCGTTGTAAAAGTTAGGTGTGAGTCAAAGATTAATAGAATACTCACACACAGCTACACCCTCAATAGGTAGACAAATGACAAATAATGATAAAGTTCACTGACGATGTCATGGTGATATGAGGATGTATAACAGTGAATAAGAGTAGAAAAATGTAGATCTCTTTCGCATATCTACACATTCAATTTTATTAAAACGCCTAACATGGAAATAAATACATGAGAGAGTAAAGTCATACGTGAGAAATTCAAGTACGCATGAAAACAAATGCAAAGAAATAGCACAACTTAGATATTGTATTATAATGAAAAAAACATCCAAAACAATCCGTAGCTTATAAATAATCATCCTGTATATTTGTTCAATACAAAACTAAGAACTGATTTGTTGAGTAAAAGTTGTATTGTTTTTGTGTCTCTCGTTTTGTCATTGGAACTATTAGGTATCCCATATTAATCTCGTGCCCATTTTGGGTATTGCCTTAATGAGTATGTTTCCATAGACATCTGTTCTGTTACCAGATAGATCTATTGTAATAAGTGTCTATGCAAATAATACAAGAAGAATGAAATAACAAAAAGAAGATCAATAGCTACTTGAATTTGTTTCAAAGTATTGACAAAATATACTGCTTCTTGAGCGTCGATGCCATTGCAGGAGAAGTCTGCTGTGATTAGTGTCTATGTGAAAAGTGTTAGAATAGGAAAGTGAGAGATAGGTTGATGGTTATTCAATCGTGTTGACGAGCGTGAGCACGATATTGTGTGCCTTTAGCATCGATTTTGTTTGCCAGAGCGGTCTAATATAATCAACGTCTAGATTAAAGATATGCCTTTAACCAATGTCCTCAATATACATCTATATACAGGGTGGTCCAAAAGTCACGCACCCCAAAGGAAATTGAATATCTCCATAACGGCTCTAGCAAACTGGCTGGTTTTTTTACAACTAGTAAACGCATATTTACACTCCATATCCATAAAGACAAGGCGAGAGTGAACCCTTTTTTTAAGTGTCACTATTGACTTTAACCAAAAAATTTTAATTTTTCACAGATAGAAAAAAAATAATGTAATGGATGGCGCAAAAGTCACTTTACCGAAAAAAAGTTGAATATCTCCATTACGGCTCGAGCAAACTAGCTGATTTTTTTATCAATGCTAGAGGCATGTTCAAGCTTTATATCCATAAAGACATGCCTAGAGAGATCCTTTGTTAAGCATGTTGTTTTTTTTTATCTGTAAAAAAAAGTAAAATTTTTTTGTTGCGATTAACAGTAATACTTAACAAAGGACTTCTCTAGGCATGTCTTTCTGGATATAAAGCTTGAACATGCCTCTAGCATTGATAAAAAAATCAGCTAGTTTGCTCTAGCCATAATAGAGATATTCAATTTTTTTTCGGGTGCGTGACTTTTGGGCCACCCTGTATATATATTTTATGAAAATTAGTTCGAACTATTTTTAGAAGTTCTTATTAATAAAATGACGATTGACATGATATATATCATGTTGTGGAAAAAAGAGGAGTGCTTACTTGATATTGATGATAACTATGCATAATTATAATCATGAATTTACAAACATTTGATCGAATATACGATAAACTAACTCTATCGGTAATGTTAGAAAACTTAGAGTAACTTTCTGTGATCTTACAGAAAATTGTTATTTCTTTTCGAAATATTAGCTGTTGAAATTTAATGATTTTTGAGTTTTTATAATTGTATACGATTCACATTGTCGATGATTATGCAATGATTTCCTTGTATAAAGAACTATGAATGATTATCATCAAAGAATGAAGGAACAAAAGCTTCTTGGATTTTCATAGTATAATGATCTATTATCGATAGTTATTGTATAAAGCATTTCTCTCGCTTCATTTAATGTTTGTTCAAAAATACACTTTTGCAGAAGCAACGCGCTCTTCAAGCATCTATTAGGTTTTTGATCAGACTCGGTTAGAAAAAAAATGAAACAAAATATCAATGGTCACCTTCCTACTGATCGTCTTCTTCTGTATTTCTTCGTTTTTCCTTGTGATAAACAGGGTGTGAGTGATCGTCTTCCCTTCAGTCACACCCACACCCTTACTTGATTGGTCCCGACAAAGAACATAGCAACAAACAAGTTGTGACAGATCGTGGAGGCAAGCTAATGTTGATTCATCGAATGTATTCGACGTGATTAACGCGATTTTTTCTTTTGTGCTTGTTCAAATATAACTGTCGCATTCATTACTCGTGTCGAATATGCGTAGATGGCTAATGACATGTCGTAATGTGTTGTGAATTCGATTTCTTTTCGCGTCCTTGTCAAGCCACGCGCAAACATAGCCTTTAAGGTATCTCGTCATGCAAGTGAAATCACTAAATAATTGTTGTCAAAACTACTGAAAGTAACGAAGAAAATGTGTTTCAGACTTTTTTTTGTTGTTTTGTATGTGCATGTTGAAGAAAGAAAAAAAAAAATTTATTTTGCTGCTTCTTGATCAAACAAATAGCTCAGTTGATTCCTTTCTTTGAAGAGAGTAGAGGGTGTCAGGAAGCTGACCCATACTCACACCCTAAGTATTTATTTAGACGAATAGGATCTGAATGTGGATGATTTTTAAAGACAACAGTCCATTATACTGCATATTTACCTTATAGTTATGGCATTATGACATACAATAAAACCTTATTATTATGAACAGTCATCGGCACCCCTATAAATATTTTTGCTGGAAATGAATATCTCAGGTGTGGCAGTAGTTTCTGAGCTCGTCTGCAATCATTTTCGTTAGGAACGAACAAAATAAATATTAAATAAGAAAGCACACCATTGTATATTATTTTTCTCTTTCTTACATACATGGATATGTTTGGTCCATTCATATAAGTTAGTTTGGTTCATTCGTACATGAAAGAAATCACTATATATGTCACTTACCATGTAAGTACGGCTACAGTCAACAGATTAGAAGTAAAAATAAATATATTATCGTGAAAAACTGCATTTATCTTGCAATTCTGCGAAATAGCATAAATAATGACATATCGAAGGGCTTTTATATTTTGTAAAACTGATAACTTGATCTTTCCAATGTTGGTTAAAGTCAGACTTTCACATTATCTTCCATATGAACACGACTATATGTGAGAAAAATCTCAGCTCGACTCAACTTATATTGGTTGACATAGTACTTTTTTCCTGATAAGACGATCTTTATAATTGTAATAGTCAAAAAGGTTCTATCTTCTCAGGAACAAGCCAGAAACCCAAACTTTTATTTTTTACCATAGACACAGCTCATTAAGAGCTAGAAGATACGTGAAACCCTGACTGAAAAGCGTTCCGTCATCTGGTAAAGTATACACTACATTATTCAAATCTCACTTTCATTTTTTCGCCTAATATCCACGCTGTTGTCCATTATGTATCTATCCCGTGGTTTTAGGAAGTAAAAGAGTACCAATAATATGTCTTACAACCCTTTCTCATATTATCATTTATCACTTTTGCCAATCTTCTCCTGTCTCCTATTAGGTGGTGCCATTTTCGAACAATTTCTGTTAGAAATAATCTAATGTTATTTTATTTTAATTCTTAGACACACGCACACCATTAAATAAACAGAATACACGTCTTTATATAGGCATAGGAAAAGAGAGAAAAAAAAGGAAAAGAGAAAAAAAAAATAGAAAGTAAGAACGACGTATTATCTCGCGTGTTAATAAAGACTATAACAGTCTCTTATAATATGGTACATGCACGGCTCGTGGTGGGATCGGCATGTGCAGCCATCTTTTTAGCGTCCGATGACGCTTCAATGTTGACATGTTTCGACCCTTTGAGCGTTCCGAGAAGTGCTTCATCTTTCTTGAAAATGTGGGGTTCGAATTTCAATTCCTATATGTTGAAAAAGACACATTTTTCCAAGATTCTATTTCCTCATCTAATATGAATATATTTTATACTTCTTCTCTCTTTGGATTGAGTCGACCTGCTTCACTTTCAATCTTCGCTGTCCATACTGGTGTCATATTCATGTAATCTTTATGCATTTTTGTAAGAATCATCTGGTTATTTTCGCTAGAAAAACATTTAATTTGATCTAAGTCATGTTGGTTCAAGTAACTTACTGTTCATATGTATCGGTCACTTGGCTGATGGCTGCTTTGTGCTTTTGGAGATGTTGTACTTCTTGTTCGGTAATGGGAATTTTGCTAGAATATAATATACTAAATAGTGATGATGGACAGAGTATAATACATACGAGGTCTCGGATTGTATATGTTCATCGATTTGTTTTTGATATCGCTGTTCTTCTTCTTGAATTGAATGTATAAGATCTTGTGAATGTGTTGAAACTTTCGTTTTCATCACTTTATACGTTTCGATACGAGTATTTCGACTGATATTCAATGCCTCTATTTCGAAAAGAATATCATTTTTTAAAACTAGAAAATAAATATAAAATAGATACATACGGCCTAAATTGATCAAATCATTGACTGTCGTCGTAGATTTACGAAGCGATTCGTCGACTTCCTTCTTTTGAGAGAGATGATGTTTTGTACGGCAATCAGCACACAGTGCTTTATCACAGTGTAAACATGAACGTAGTTCAGTTGCTTGCTTGCATTGCGCACATTGAGCTTGAATTGTCGGTGGTGATTGGTCAGTAATGACGGAATATGGTTCTCGACTATATTCAAAGCGAACAAATACATGTAGATTTCGAGCAAAAAATGGTGAAAGGAAAATTGCGTCACATCGTTACAGAGTAAGTTTTTTCATTGCAACTATTATCGCTGCCATAATTAAGTAGGGATTGGGTGTAATAAGAATATCCCGACAACAGCAATAGCTTGCAATCAGAAACTTTCACTAATCGAAAGAAGCCGAGTTAGAACCTGTTTTTATATAATATTATTCAAGGTGAAATCTTTGCCAAATCAGTCACTTTTACGAATCTTTTCGAAAAATGTACAATAACACAAAGTAGTTCGAATGAAATTTTCATTCGGACATACATATTTGATAGACAGACTTCAGATCTATATATAGTTCAAGATACAATGTGGATGGTTATCTTCTCACAGTGTCTAACGTTGGGCAAATGAATTCAGCATTTGCTGGCCAAAATAATTGGTTTAGCAATGATTTCACCTTGGATAATATTACACAAAACACGTCCTAACTCTGTCTCTTTCGATTAGTGAAAGTCCTAGATCGCTAGCTAATGTCGTTGTCGAGATATTCGTCTAAAAAATCCAAAAATTTGAGTCTATGACGGAAATGAATTACAAAATAATTCCAAATTCGTATAAAATCTACAAGAAATCTTTGACAAAATTTCTGTTAGACTTTCTGATATGATTTTATAAGTATTTCAATAAATATTTATATTATATTTCCTATTAGAATTCTTATTACTTCGCTTGCTATCATCTAACAGGGTCTACCAGAGTCTCGCTTTGTATTTCTGTGTGTATGAGTTTTCACCCTCATCCTCAGTCAGATGATGCGCCCTGTGTGTATTTCCGCCCTCATTTCAAGAAAGTCGTATAGAACATCAAATAATCTGGTAGACACTAGTAGATCAGATCTTCGTTCGGCTCAGAAAATGTCTGGACGGATTCAGAGCACAAGAGACGGAATAGAAGGAGCTGAGAGGGCTTGAGCCATCTCAATTTTTAAAATGCACAGAGAGAATTTCTTTTCTCTTTGCAAGTTCCATGCTAACTTCGTTCTTTCAAGGCGTGACTTATCTCATCATCCTCTGGTATAAAGGCAGGACTAGACGAGTCAAGCCATTTTTCGAGTTGAGTCAAGTTATTTGTGATATTGAAATATTTTCACCACAAACCTTCCAGAATAGAAGGTCATGTTCGAATAAAAGTTCATCAATGCCATTAGAAGATCATACACTAATTACTTAACTAATTATAAAAATACTTAATTTTTGTAAATATTAATTAATAGTTAGCCAAATACTGCCGTTTTCCTAAGAAATCGCTCCGTATTCCATTACTCATAGCAGATCTTTATACGAAAACGGCTGTTTTTTCATGAAAAATATCTGAAAAACCATTCATTAAGGTTATTAATTAGTTTTAATTAATTCTTATAATTTCTCAAAGTTTTTAATTAATAATTGATCAAAATTTGACCTCAATAGAAGGACACCCAAAAAGTAACGATATGCGAAGACGCTATATTAGGCCATAGCCTTTTATTCTGGGAACGATGACTTTGGGAGTTTTACTTGAAACCTAATAAAAAGAATTTTACAACAGATTGCTTGAATTCGATCGTGCTATTTTTTGAATTTGAACAATTAACTGTTGTTGATAAGCTATCAGGATTAACACACGATTATGTTATAACGTAATAGAGAATATAATGTATGATGCAATGCAAGTCTTACATTTATTTTATCATATACACGCTTACACCCTGTTCAAAAGTGAGCCAAAACAAAACGGAACGAGAAAAAACATATATTCAACAATACGCATGGTCTATCATTTACGACCATATGAATGCAAAAGTAGAGAAAAGTTCTTGAAAAATCGTTCTGACAAATATATCCAATAGGACAAAAGTCATGACCAAGTGAAAATTTAATCTTATCAATTGTGACTTTTTTATAAGAGAAAGTGCAAATTTTTTTGAATGAATGACTCGAGTCACACAGTCGAGTCATGACTCAGACTCGTCTAGTCCTGTTCAGAGGAAAAGCTTCTTCTATTCTACGATGGCCTCTTCTCCTAAAAAATTCTTAGCTCAAAGCCTGCAACTAGAGCGCATGGGGACCGAGTTCCAGTCTAAGGAAAGTTTTGGTACCTGAAAGAGACGTCTCTGCTCTCATTCGCGAGTGTTTCGAAATCTTCTCAGTTCTCATTCGTTCTATTAGAATAGTAAGCTCAATATCTAGAAGCAAAAAAAATAGAAAAAAAGAACAAAACTATTTCTCTTTGAACTTAATACGATCACTGTTTATCATCGGAGTAATCATATACAGAAAACAATATTCATTCTTATTCAAGGTCATCATCATTATTATCATCAAAGATATTTTCAGTGTCATTAAAATAGCTGTCGCATTTATCATTAGGGGGTATTATTGTCTGAAAAACGTTCTGATCTTTTCCTGCCTCGCTCTAAACAAAGCCGAAAATTTTACGACTTTTCTTTGATTTTAATGAATTTTACCGAATATTCCAGGCTCTTCTGGAACTTCTTGAACTAAAAATCACGTATTTTTTCCCTTGATTTTTGCTCGAAAAGACGAGGAATCTGATTTCTTCTCATGTATTCCAGCAAAAAATTCTGATTGATGCGATTTTTCCTTCTATCTTCTTTCCTGTAGCAACATTGCAACCTACGAATAGATTCTACATCACTACAATTAGATGATCATTTTTATTTGGAATGTAAATCGAAACTCGTTTTTCTATGACAAACCTGCGTAGACCGATGAGAAATGGAACGAGTTTGTCAGGTTTGGCTGACGAGAGTGATGAAATGGGTGTCATATGCTCAACACCACAAATCGGACAAGTCACTTTATCATTTTGTATATGTTTGGCAAGACAAGCTTCACAATACGCATGATGACATTGCAATTCCAACGGATTGGTTGGACTTTGTTTGCAATAATGACATTGTATCAATGAATCCATTTTTATTATCTAAAAGTTATACTTGTAACATACATAAATCTACATGCTTAATTTTACGAGGAAACATATTTAAGTGCTCCCTCCTTGAGATCGAGTTTAAAAGTATTTTATCGTGTAGTGACTATGTAGAGTATCTCGAATATCAACATTTTAACTATGCATCGTATCATGTTACTTAATGTTTCATTTTATTGGTTCATTTTGTGAAAAATTTTCACAAAACATAATTTTTTCAACAAAAGAGCTGCATAAAATAAATAAGATTTCTGATTTATACAGTTTTGTTGCTGAAAAATTATGTTTTGTGAAAAATTTTCACAAAATGAGCCAATAAAATGAAACATCAAGTAACATGATACGACGCATAGTAAAAATGTTGAATAATGTCATTTTTTAAACCTTGACGAAAATAACTAAAATGTTGATATTCGAGATGCTCTACATGATCACTACACGATAGAATACTTTTAAATTCGATCTCAGGGGGGGGGGGGGGGGGGAAGGAAAGGCATTTAAATATGTTCCCTCATTAGTAGCGAATCAAAACTATGTCACATTTTTCTGCGTCGTTTAGAGTCTCTTATTCTTTTCTTTTGCCGTGCATTTGTAGTAATACGATTTCATCGCTCGTATTGTTTACGGTTGCTAAGAGAGATCGTCGTTGACAACATGTGCTTGCTCGTTCTCTCTCAACCTCTCGGAAAGAGAAGAGAGCAGCAAAGTGAGTGCAGAAGAATCGAAATAGAAATACGAATAAAAGAAATACATTTTGAATATAATTGGGTGAAAGTACAGTTTGAAATAATTATGTAATGAAAGAGTATACCACTGCGACAAAAAACATTTTATTTTTGATTTCAACCTGTCAACAATTTACAATTGTCATTATCAGAAAATCATTAGAAAAGAAAAAAATTAAGCTATATATATATGTATACAAAACAAGGCATAGAACAGAACAGAACAGAACAGAACATAAGAAAAAAATATTACAACATCAATTTTTACATCATAGCTAACACAATTACAACTTCACTATACTTTAAATTAATTTTTTCTTTTCAAATGATTTTCTGATGATGACAATTGTAATTTGTTAAAAGCTTGAAATCAAAAATAGAATGTTTTTTTGTCGCAGTTTTATACTCTTTCATTATATACATTTTGAACTCGTGATTCTGGATCAGTGTCCATGTTGTATAGAACAGTCCGTAAAAGGCTCGAAAACGGCGAAAAACGGCTGCCATTACCACGATCGTTTACGATGTATCGTAAAACGGAGAAAAACGGCAAAAAACGATATCTGTTACAATGATCGTTTACGTATCAGCGGAAACGGTTGTCATTACAACTTCTACTTTTGCGCTGTTTCACACTGTTTTTCTTCATATAAACATAAGGGTCCTCAAATAATCGTCAGGAACTCTCTGATAAAATATAATCAATTGCTCACTGCTTGTTAAAAGAATTCATACTATTTTTCATCATGGCTGCTTCCACCATATTATTCAATAGCAAGTATTTTAATTAAATAAATATGTTTATTTTTATTTCGGTCTATCTTAATCAAATATTCGATAGTGGGTATTTTATATAAATAATTTACTTTTTTTTATTTAGAATTTAAACCAATAAAATAGTTCACAAGAAGTATTTTGTTTAAATAGAAATTTTTTTTTACGTAGGATATCCTAGGTCAGGATTCGAGTATTTCCTCTCGCGATTCGCGATACGCCCGATTCCAACTAAGATCACACTGGTTCCAACTAGAACTCGATGAGCTCTATCCAACGCACTAGTTTTTTTTCGAAAACAAACAATTCTTTCTGGTCAAAACCACGTTTTTCCGCAAAAAAAACAAGAAAAAACAACATAACCAAACCAAAACCACTCGCGATTCGCTCAGGAACCGATTCCAACAAAACTAACACTGGTTCCAAGTAGATCTCGATGAGCTCTATCCAACGGACACCTTTTGAGCTCAGATCGATGCACCTATCGCTTAGGAATCGGCCTACAAGGCCAGAAACCGGGCTTTTCTTCGGGACAACCTGTTACGATTCGTCCACTGACCGATTCCAACAAAACTAACACTGGCTCCAAGTAGATCTCGATGAGCTCTCTCCAATGGACACCTTTTGAGCTCAAATCGATGCACCCACCGCTTAGAAATCACCCAATAGGCATCTGGACACAGCTTTTCTTCCGGAAAACCTGTCACGATTCGGCCAGAGACCGATTCCAACAAAACCAACGCTGGTTCCAAATAGATCTCGATGAAATCTATCGAATGGATACCTTTTGAGCTCAAATCGATGCACCTATCGCTTACGAATCGGCCAAAAAGGCCAGAAACAGGGTTGTTTCAGATTAATTTAACTTTATGATGGACATTTGAATCTCAAAGAAACTCTACACAATCAAGAAAAATTTTTTGTTTTTTTTGTTTAATTTATTATTTTATTGTGTACATGTGCTCTGATGGTTTTTTATTGTACATACTGTTTTTATTATTTTATTTTGTTCCATAGATTTTCTATTTTTTTTGTTTAATTTTATACACGGTTTTCTTGTAATTTTTTTATTAATAAAAAAAATAAGAACAACCTCTTTAGAATAAAAGAAAATAATAAATAAATGTTTATTCAATAAAATAAAAAAGATTGTTAAAAAAAAGTTTATAAGTTAATCATTGCATAGAAGTTTTTCTCCTTATTTCTTTTTATTGTATTGGCGTTTTTTCCTATTATTTTATTTTATGGTGTAAAAATTCTATTATTTTATTTAGTTTTATTCTATAGACGTTTTATTAATTTGTTTTTAATTTCATTTGATAGACTTTTTTCTTATTATTGTTTTATTGATAAAAAAAAATGACCAGAAAAAAGTCGATAAAATGAAGGAAAAAAAATTCATAAAACGTCTATGGAATAAAACTAAATAAAACAGTAAGAAAAATTTTTACACCATAAAATAAAATAATAGGAAAAAACGCCAATACAATAAAAAGAAATAACGAGAAAAACTTCTATGCAATGTTTAACTTAAAAACTTTTTTTTAACAATTTTTTTTATTTTATTGAATAAACATTTATTTATTATTTTCTTTTATTCTAAAGAGGTTGTTCTTATTTTTTTTATTAATAAAAAAAATTACAAAAAAATCGTGTATAAAATTAAACAAAAAAAATAGAAAATCTATAGAACAAAATAAAATAATAAAAACAGTATGTACAATAGAAAACCATCAGAGCACATGTACACAATAAAATAATAAATTAAACAAAAAAAACAAAAAATTTTTCTTGATTGTGTAGAGTTTCTTTGAGATTCAAATGTCCATCATAAAGTTAAATCAATCTGAAACAACCCTGTTTCTGGCCTTTTTGGCCGATTCGTAAGCGATAGGTGCATCGATTTGAGCTCAAAAGGTATCCATTCGATAGATTTCATCGAGATCTATTTGGAACCAGCGTTGGTTTTGTTGGAATCGGTCTCTGGCCGAATCGTGACAGGTTTTCCCGAAGAAAAGCCCGGTTTCGGACATTGTTGGCCGATTCCTAAGCGGTGGGTGCATCGATTTGAGCTCAAAAGGTGTCCATTGGATAGAGCTCATCGAGATCTATTTGGAACCAGTGTTGGTTTTGTTGGAATCGGTTACTGACCGAATCGTGACAGGTTTTCCCGATGAAAACCCCTAGTTCTGGCTTTGTTGGCCGATTCCTAACCGATGGGTGCATCGATTTGAGCTCAAAAGGTGTCCATTCGATAGATCTCATCGAGATCTATTTGGAACCAGCGTTGGTTTTGTGGGAATCGGTCTCTGGCCGAATTGTGACAGGTTTTTGCGGAAGAAAAGCTGTGTCCAGGTGCCTATTGGGTGATTTCTAAGCGGTGGGTGCATCGATTTGAGCTCAAAAGGTGCCCATTCGATAGAGCTCATCGAGATCTACTGGGAACCAGTGTTGGTTTTGTTGGAATCGGTCAGTGGACGAATCGTGATAGGTTTTCCCGAAGAAAAGCCCGGTTTCTAGCTTTGTTGGCCAATTCCTAAGCGATGAGTGCATCGATTTGTAGTCAAAAGGTGTCCATAGGATAGAGCTTATCGAGATCTACTTGGGACCAGTGTTAGTTTTGTTGGAATCGGTCACTGGCTGAATCGTGACAGGTTTTCCGGAAAAAAGCCTTGTTTTGGGCCTTGTAGTCTAATTCCTCAGTGATGGGTGCATCGATTTGAGCTCGGAATGTGTCCATTCGATAGAGCTCATCGAGATGTACTTGGAACCAGTGTTAGTTTTGTTGGAATTGGTCACTGGGCGAATCGTGACAGCTTTTCCGGGAGAAAAGCCTTGTTCTTGGCTTTGTTGGCCAATTCCTAAGCGATGAGTGCATCGATTTGTGGTCAAAAGGTGTCCATTGGATAGAGCTCATCGAGATATACTTGGAACCAGTGTTAGTTTTGTTGGAATCGGTCGCTGGCCGAATCGTGACAGGTTTTCCGGAAAAAAGCCTTGTTTTGGGCCTTGTAGTCTAATTCCTCAGTGATGGGTGCATCGATTTGAGCTCGGAAGGTGTCCATTCGATAGAGCTCATCGAGATCTACTTGGAACCAGTGTTAGTTTTGTTGGAATCAGTCACTGGACGAATCGTGACAGGTTTTCCGGAAAAAAGCCTTGTTTCGGGCATTCTAGGCTGATTCCTGAGTGATGGGTGCATCGATTTGAGCTCGGAATGTGTCCATTCGATAGAGCTCATCGAGATCTACTTGGAACCAGTGTTGGTTTTGTTGGAATCGGTCACTGGGCGAATCGCGACAGGTTTTGGTGTTGTTGTGTTGTTTTTTCCTGTTTTTTTTGTGGAAAAAAGGGGTTTTTGCCGGATAGGATTATTTGTTTTCGGAAAAAAGCGAGTGCGTTGGATAGAGCTCATCGAGTTCTACTTGGAACCAGTGTGGTCTTTGTTGGAATCGGGCTTGGGGCGAATCGCCACAGGAAATACTC